CAAAACATTTTATGATGGGCGACCTACTCTTCATATACTTTTGAGAGAGAACCTAAGAAGTTTGAGAATCTTTAAGTTACTGTTTAGAAAGATATTTTAGAAAAAACTGGACGATTTCAAAAGTTGCACTCCTATTTATTCTCCCTTAGAACCTTATATATAAACAATTGAAGCTACTCTTTTACAAACATGTCTCTATATTCAATGCCTATGTGAGTAATGCAAGAGCTTCAATAAGTACTTAATAATATGGAAATTTACATCTATACTGGTTTTTTAAACCATGATAACGAAAAAGCCCCAAAATAGGACGTTTTTACACGGAAGGATGGGCACCTCAAATTTTTTTATTTTTTGACACATTTGCCCCCAATTCGATGTTTCTAACATCGGACCGCGTTTAGACCTCATTTTTTAAGGCAATCCAGATTGCATTTAGGGCTCATTTTTTGAAGGATTAAGGCGGTCAAATGTTTCTAAGATCGAACGCTCATTTGGACCTCATTTTTTGAAGGTTTAAAACGAACATCAGACCTCATTTTTTAAGGTTTAAGGCATCCAACGTTTCTAACATTGGACCGCATTTGGCCTTCATTTCTTGAATGTTTTAGTCGATGCGATGCAATATGAAGTGGAAATGTTTAGTACTTACTAGATATTTTGTAGATGAAAAATCTCAATGTCAAGTTATATAAAACTTTAAAGAATGCTCCAAAAGTAACAGACAATACATTGAATTCTCTGTGGCCCCTCAAATCCAATAGGCCACTCTTCAAACAATATCTAGAGGCACTGAGATATAACACAACAAAGCTAAACTACAAGAAGGAATTAATGATATTAGGGGCAAATGCTCCCAAGTTGTAAGATACACTAAAAATATGCATATAACTTGAAATACATACACGTCAGGATCCATTGTCAAAATCCAATCAGGCACATGTCCAGTCAAGTTGTTGCTTTTAAGGTACCTATCTCAAAATGAAGTATAAATTTTGTGTGAGAGATAGACTAATATCTAAACAATCACTCCAAAGAATAAGCCCCAAGCTGAAATTGCAAATGAATCATAGACCACTCAGAAGCAGCACTGAGAAAGAAACTGAGTTTCCAACAGATTACTTACAATCTATCAAGGCGTTGTAAGTCCTTTAAAAAGGGAGGAATTCCGCCAGTCAAATTGTTAAAGGTCAGATCACTGCAGACAATAAATAACATAAGCACAAATAAGAAGAAAGTTGTCACAATAAATGATATGCATGCTACATCTATGAACATAATTGATTGGTTTCCCACAACAAAATCTCTCATTGGAACAAGATATTCGTCCTATGCTAGTAATTTCAGACCTATGTCACTAATTCATATGAAATAATTCTCGACAAAAAGTTTGTGAGGTTTAAATATATGTGTGTGTGGATTTCCATGTTGTGGTTTTAAATGGCAAGATTAAATATATATGTTATTTTTGTCGATATACTTGAATCTTGTGTCTTTAGTTTCTTCTGAAAATAGGAAATTCAGGGATCAATCGGGGACCAAGTTCGGATATGGTTGGCCTGAGCCTGGCTATCAAGAAGGCAAAACATAGCCCAAATCAGCATTTTAAAACCCGGCGTTCTCATCCGGATGGGAATCAGTTGGGACCGAACCGGTTCCTAGATAGTATAAGTCCCAGCTTAGTTCCCCACTAAAACCTCCTATATATTTTTTTTTTCTTTTTTTTCTAAGCTTATATGATGTTTTATCAGGTCTCTTCCAATTCTCAACCCAAAAACCCTTATTTGATTCTTATTTTATTCCATTTATTTTTTAAAAGTTTTAAGATCACTGATTTAGACCTTTCCAAACTCGATCCAGATCATTGATCCAACGATCAGATATGTGGGTAAATGATCTGCCCCACCGATCTGGAGTTTAGACCACCAGCCCAAATACATGACATGAATAGAAGAGAGTGCACATGACAGAAATTGAAAAGAGAGCATAGTTACAGCCCAGAAAGACCCGTTTGGATCCCTGGATTTTTCAATCCGGGGAAAAGTCAATCTTGGAATTGAAATTTCCTGGAATTGAGATGTTTTGGAAATGTTAATTCCTTGTTTGGATCGCATTTGGTAGAAATCAAAAAAATGCAAATTCCCTTTTAGATTGTCCGGAATATCTTTATCTTGGAAATGCAAATTCTTTCTCTCTCTCTCTAATAAAAATTTGAGATAGTTTTTCTCACTAAAATTTTAATACACTCTCTTTAAAAAAGTTAAAATTTGAAATAGTTTCTCTACTTTCTCTCTCTAAAATTTGGTGTAGCTTCTCTCTCTAAAATTTTGAGATACTTTCTTTATCTAAAACTTAATATTTGAGATGGTTTCTCTCTAAAAAATTTTGAGATCATTTCTCTCTCTAAACAATTTCAGATAGTTTCTCTCTAAACAATTTCAAGTAGCTTCTATCTCTAAAATATGATATAGTTTCTCACTCTAAAATTTCAAGTAGCTTCTCTCTCTAAAATATGATATAGTTTCTCACTCTAAAATTTTAAAGTACTTTCTCTATCTAAAACATAAAATTTGAGATAGTTTCTTTCAAAAAATTTTAAGATAATTTCTCTCTTCAAGAAATTTTAGGTACTTTCTCACTCTAAAAGTTGATATAGTTACTTTATCTAAAATTTTAAGATGCTTTCTCTGTAAAACTTAAATTTTGAGATAGTTTCTCTTTCTAAAACATTCAGGTAGTTCTAAAATTTTAATATACTTTCCCTCTCTAAGACTTAAAATTTGAGATAGAGGATTTAAGATATTTTGTCTCTCTAAAACTTAAAACTTGAGATAGTTTCTCTCTCTAAAATTTTCAAGTAGTTTCTCCCTCTAAAATTTTAAGATATTTTCTCTCTAAAAATTAAAATTTGTGATAGTTCCGCTATCTAAAATTTTTTAAATAGTTTCTCTATCAAAATTTTTTTAAATACTTTCTCTCTCTAAATATTTTAATTACTTTCTCTATCTAACATTTGTTATAGTTTCTCTCTCTAAAGTTTTAAGATATTTTCTCTCTCCAAAACCTAAAATTTGAGATAGTTTCTCTCTCTAAAAACTTTTTGGTGGCTTCTCTATCAAAAATTTGATATAGTTTATAATCTCTAAAAATGTTAATATCGTCTTCTAAAACTTAAAATTTGAGATAACTTCTCTCTAAATGTTTCGAGATAATTCCTTTCCAAAATTAATGGAGTTTCTCTCTCTAAAATTGTAAGATACTTTCTCTCTCTAAAATTTAAGATCTGAGATAATTACTCTCTCAAAATTTTTAATATGGTCTCCCTAAAACTTTAAATTTGAGATAGTTTCTCTCTCTAAAAATTTGAGATAATTTCTCTCTCCCTAAAAAAATTTGTATATTTTCTCTCAAAAAATTTTCGTATATTTTTTTTCTCTAAAATTTGATATAGTTTCCCTTTCTAAAATTTTAATATGTTTTCTCTCTTTAAAATTTGGTATTGTTTCTCTTTCAAAACTTTTAATATTTTTTCTGTTCTTCAATAGCAAAGTAGATCATTTCCATGAAATGTCAATTCCACCTATTTTGGTGGAATTGAGAGTTCCAAAATATAGGCTCAAAATGAGCATTTAGGAATCCCACGGAAATCTCAATTCTAACAGATATATCAATTCTAAGCGAACCAAACACGATTGGCCCAACGTTTCTGTAACAATCCTAAATGTAACAATCCTGAAATTTCAAAAAAAAAAAAAAA